TTTTTGATAAATTTTGTAAGCTATAAAAGATATAAAAACCAAAATGGTTGCAAATAGCATTTTGATGAAATATTTATTTTTTTTCCAATACGAGAACAAAAAAAATAATGGTATATATAACAGAAAGATCTCGGCCCGCTATTTATCCACTAATCAGTTAAATTTATGATAGACAAGTCAAAAAAGGAAAACTATTTATAAAAAGGAAGACCAAAAATGATTTTTTTCCACAAATTATTGCTATATTCGAACAATTCCAATTATCAATAAACTGTGATCTCTATTTTGAATTTTTATCTTACCAAATATAATAAATTATTCTAGAATCATTTTGTTTTTAAAGTCGTAGATTTTGAATGAATTCATTTTACTTGAATATTAACTGACATCGTGACTCACTACGAATTTAGGAGAAAAATCGATCAACATGGATAAATCAGAATGAGTTATGTTTATCATCGTCACATGTACTACATTCTATAATCATTAATTAACCATTTTTGCATTTTTATTTTTCACGTTATTTATTATTATAAGGACCAGGTAAAATTATAGGTTATCTTTAACATTATTTTGCCAAGTTCTTCTAGTTACATTCGGAATATTGGATCTTGCACATGATCTTTTCAAAAAATCTAAACAAACGGTTACGCATGGGCTTTGCTATCATTTAGCAATTAAATTACCTCACGAAGCGCCAAGTAGTTTCATTCGATTTAAAGGCAATTGAAATTTTGATACACTTATATAATATCAATAATGATTATATGATTTTGATCAATATACTCAAAGGTTAAGTGAAAATTCTTTATCCGGTTCATCAGAAAGTTTCCAAAGCTTATTAAAATTTACGAAAGAGTAATTCACAGAAGATCTTAAAAAATAAATGATGATTTTGGAAAGGGAAAATTAAAATGTTCAGATCAAAAAGTATATATAAAAAATGAGCAAATTTCCAACTCGAGTAAAGTTTTAGAACTTATTGCAGATGAATGACTTGTCCAATCAAACACAACCAAATAATCAAATATGTGTTCTAAATTGTCAACATATATATTATTATCTTTAAATAATTTAAAAAAGTTAAAGTTGAAACAAAGCAAATGCCCTAAATTTTGAGAAAACATTAAAGATAACGAAGTCAGATATTACAAAATGCTATTTATAGGAACTTGTATTCACATTTTCATGAAGCTGGTTATAGTTTAACATCAATTGAAACAGAAAATTTAGAGAATAATGATCAATATGATAGTGGTTCTAGTGATTCTGATGATTTAATATTAGCTAAAAAAGCGAATATTAACGTCATTAAAATTAATTCAAACAAATCATTTTGATCAATATTTCAAATTAGACAATCAAGAAACTACATCCAGCATATCAAAATGTCATAAAAAGTTAGTAGAAAAATTACGAAAGTTCTGAATATTATTCCATGAAATGCATTTAGGAAGTATTTATAGAATTCTCAATAATATGAACAAGCATATTTTTGTATAAATGAAGCTATTAATTTAAAAGATATATATAAATTGTTTGGTGAAATGCATTATAGACATAAAAATATGATGTAATAAAGTACTTAAATTCTTTAATTAAAATTGATAAAATAAAAATCAAGGATTCCTAATATTATGTTAAGCTATAGAATATTTCACAGAGTATAGGGAAAACCTGTTCAGCTGATCAGTACGACGTCAACGCTTCGATTGGCGCAGCAACTACAGTGCATATCAAAAATTTATCTTATTTATTTTATTTATTATACTTTATTAGTTTATATGCTAAATTTATTATGTCTACTAGTAAATTGAAACAACAATTTTGTATAAATAGATCGGGAATTCAATCTAGAGAAAAATAGAGAAAATAGCAAGTCGTAAAAGTTTCTCTCAAAAGATTTAATTAGACTATTCTAGTTTGTGATGATAAGTCTAAAGAAAAGGCTTATAGAATTCCTAATTAATAAAATTGTTTAATTTACACTTTCAATCTTCTTCGTGTGTCTTCACAAAGGTTTGATGAGATAAATAACTACACTAGCGAATCATAATAATTAAATACTACATAAATTATACATCGGACTAAGTAAAAAGTAAATAAGTGTTTGTTGTGTTTGTTGACTTGAGAAAGAAAGGAAATTTGGGTCAACAACGGTACGAATTTTGCAGATCAGTACGATCTTTCAAATTATATTTTGGAAAACCACCGTACTTATATTAAGGTATTTATATTTTTTTTTTTTTTTTTTTTTTTTTTTGAAAAAAAATTTTTTTTTATTTTGACGTTGTTGACGATCCTAGTATAGAATGCAAAATCGCTATTAATATTATTGAGAGCTAGAAAACCGAGGAGGAAAACCGGTATGAAACTATTATAGAAAGTACCATACCGTACCGATTTTCCTCCTCCCTTATTTTACAGAAGCAATTAACATCGACCCTGAAAATGTTTATCTTTTAAATAATTGTTGTAAATCATGTATGGAAAAAGAATATTATGACAAAGCATTATTATATTTTAAGAAAATATCTCTGTTATAAATGTGTTTCGACATTATGACAAGTTTTGTGTATATTTATATCATCATGGTATTAAAGATTTATCGGTTCGTTTCAATAATTTTATTTTCGATGCTTATATCTACATATTTAAAGGTAAAGTTTGAATATTCCTTGATTAATTATTGTAATAACGATTACTAATACGTTTTTTATAAAAAAAAAAGGGTGCTTTTTATCGAATGCCAATATAAGCTTTAGTAATAAAATTTTATTTTGTAATAATAGTTTAGAATAGCAAGCATATAAAAATAAAAGACATTATATGAAAATAAATTCAACCAACTCAAGTTTCACAGAATAAAAATCGAAAAATCGGAAACTATTATTGTGACGCAGTGAATTATGACGAATAGACCGACTTCGATAAAAATTTCACGCGATTTTTTTGCGATATCCCGAATCCCAAATCCCAACAATTATAATCCGTGTACGTATTAGTTATTTGAGGATCAGGCTGCAAATTTTTGGATCCGTTAAACAAATGTAGTAATCTAGCCAATCAGAAATTATGTATCACAAATCGGAACAAAAATTCCTAGTTAAAAGCGAATATTTCAACTCAATTGTTCCCGAAATTTCATTGGCTGATGACGTTATAAAAACAGGAACAGGACACGGATAAGAAATGAACGGGGCTATTATCTCGATAGCCTATTTCCGAAATGTTAAACCTAGAAAAATCAAGATCCTGATTGTTGTAATGCAGATGCCGTAGCGTTTCGAAATTAAGCAACCTTATAGAAAAAAGATATCTTATTTTCGGTACTTCTTATTCCCGAATGACAAAATCATGAAAAAAAATCCCAATACACAACTAATTTGTCTTTTTATTTAATTATTATGATTTTTATTTTATTATAAAATATTATAACATGAAAGTAATACTTCATTAGTTTTATTTTCAAATAGATTATTAGTTTTGATAATTATGGATTTCGGGATTATAAAATTGAATTATGAAATTCAGGTTTATGACATTTCGTGATTACTACAATTCAGAATTTTGATTTTTTGGGATTTGGAAATCTCGAATTTTTTAATCATGGTGACTGATAGATATTGTTACACAATTTTCAGATTATGATTTTTCATCGATTGTTTATGTACCATACAATACAATATTAAACTGATGAACAATATCAGATATGTGCGTGTATGCTTGCGAAGCTACAGTATGTATGTTGTCAATGTTTGGTCACATGACATACATCCTTTTTTGTTATACTATATCATACGAAATCAAAACTGTATAGAGGTCGCCTACATACATACATTGACATACTGTACATGACCATACATTCATTGGTCATCATACATAATACTTGTTATCTATATACTCAAGATGCATGATGTCCTACTATAATAATTACAAAATATTAAATATATTGATGAATAATATGGTCGTTTATGCATACATGCGTCTAGTGTATCTTTGTATAAAAATGCGCCATTAACGGAAAAATATGCATGACGTCCTACTACAAAAATTACACAAAATATTAAAAACCATTGACGAGAATTTTGTGCGAGTTAGCATGCGAGGCGTATATGTAAAGATTTTGGCACAAGCATAATTTGCGCCATTATATTCTTATATTTAAAGGGAATTTTCTTTCGTGGTCTTCTCTCCAAAATTAAACTTTTATTTTTTATAAATGGATCACGAAATAATTGAATTAGAAATCAAAGCTAATAAACCTCATGAAGGCAGTCCAATAACTATGATAGAAATATCACCAAATGCAAAATACATAGTTACTTATAGTGAAGAAGACAAAACAATAGTAGGATGGAATGTTAAAGATGATAAATGTAAACTTATACCTGATTTCACCATTAATTCTGATAAAATTTTTCGCAATAATAAAACTGACGAAGTCGTTGCAAACGATGAAAAAACGATTTTTCACATGTGTGTCTCTGATGAGAAGATGCTAGTACTTAGTTACGTTGAATATGGTTCACATACTGAAGGGAACGTAAATGATTACTTGAGTAAGTATAATAAAACTTGTAATTTAAAACCATTAAGTATATCATTGTAATTAAGAAATTTTTTTTAGATTTAATTGATATGAAGGATCAAGATCGAGAAATGGAGTTATATTTTGAATTTGGAATTGATCGATTTTATTGTAACTTTAATTTAAACGGGGAATTTATTTTATATAATATATCTAAAGTATCATTTTTTGAGGACGAAAGTTTTGACCGTTTAAACATTTTTAATAATTTGGAATATTATACAAGTATTATTTGGATTTACTCAACTAAAACTGAAATGTGGAAATTACAAAAAATTTATGAGGTACCTCAAGGAGCGGAGTTGATAGACATTTCAAAACACGATACAATTCGATTGCGTTTAAATAACAATATATATGAACGGAGCATAAATGACAATAAAATTATGTCAACATTATCCAAAACTTTATGCGGGGTAATTATAAATTTCAAAATATATTTTAACCATTGAGAATCTAAACTAATATTTATTTGATGAATCGAAAGATTAAAACGAAAGATATCACAATGGCTTGTAATGAAGTGTACATTTATCTGAAAATAAATACTGAAATTACAGTCTATTCAGTTAAATTAGGGACGCTTATTGCTTCGTTTGATTTAAAAGCTGAAAATTATGGTATATAATTTATTTCAATATAATTTCTGTATAATTTAATTTCAATACATTAATTAAGTAATTTATTTAGATAAAATTTATGAATTTATAAAGAAAGATACCGGCCTACACTGTTTATTACTTTCTTTATTTGATTATAATTCAATTACAAGAATTCGAGATACTATTATTAAAAGCTGTAGGAAACTCTGCTTGGAACCCGCAATTGGGAATTTACAAAGCACTCCAAGTTTTTTTTATGATTATCAATTAAAAAAATATATATTTGTGATAATGGACGGATATGTATGGAAAATTAAATTTGAAGAACTTGAATTTGATGAGTTAGAAAAAGATTTAAATAATAATTTATCAAAGAAATTCGAAGCCGATGAGGTCACAGAAAGCTGGAATGCATATTTCGGAATAGAAGAAGATATCAGCGAATATGAGAATCCATTCATTCCATATGAGAATATTAATGAACCAGATTTCTTTCAAGAGGTAACTCACGAATATGAATATGAATTAAAGGGTGTTAAAAAGGTAATTTACATTTACGGTAAAATAAATGGATTTATTGGATTACGTGTAATAAGAAAAGATATCGATAGTGAAATTAAAATAATTAAAAAAACCAAATATAAAATTAGCATAATTATATATGAGGTTAAATTATTTGATTGTAAGGAGATTAAGGAGATTGTTATAAGTACAAATATTGGATTTTTTATTTTTGATGATAATTTGAATTTAAATCATTTTCTCAATATTTGTGATAGAGGATTTAAGCTCGAATACTTGATTGATGAACCTTATTGGATTTCACATGAAAAAAATGATCGATACAATTTTTTGAATTATAATTTAGGACTAATAAATGCGATTAAGAAACATGATATTGAGACAGTAGATGATATTTACAAGAAATGCCTAGATTATTTTAATCAAGATTTAGTAAACAACAAGGCGTTTTTAAGCATTATCACAAATTCTATGCCATTGTTAAATCAATACTATCCTGAATATATCACAAAATATATATTGGATACATGCATGATAATAGACGCTCCTGATTATGACATGGGCAAGTTTAATACACCACATCTTTATCCTTTTGAAGGTATTAAATTAGTTAATTTAACCCCGTCTATTCCGTGGCTAAAATATAATAATTTATTAAAAATGATTAATAGACCATTTAGATTATTAATTCAATTCATCGGTTTAATTATATCTACTTATCTTCTCCCTATAAGTTTTGCAATATATTATGTTTTAAATTATTTTAATATTATTAATTATATTGCAAATTATGGTGGGACAGTTTATGTTTATTATCGGTTTCGTATTTCTCATTATACTTCAAAACCTACAATTACTTTTATGCTACCTTACTTCAAATTTGGTAGTTATCCTGAAATACATTTAGATAGTTATCATAGTTATATCAATGAAATTTTAAGACCTTCAGCTAGTCCATTCACTAAAACAATAATAAAAGAGATATATGAAACTTGGGATGGTGAGGTTTTGATTAATTTTAAATGGAACTTATACGGAAAATATTATTATGCTATAATTTGGATGGTATTTAATTCTTTATTTGGATGCTTTACTGCTGCTGCAGTACTTTCTGAAGATTATATAACTAAATTTACTAGGGATATACTTTTTAAAGCTTCATTTATTCTAGCAACTATTCACACAATCATGAGATATCGTCAAACATATTTTGACATTAGTTCTTTGTTAGGTATGTTGAAATGAAATATTTAATAATTACTTTTAATGTCTTATTTATTTAAAAAAAAATTCATATTCTTTTATTATAGATATTTTAATTTATACATATATTATATATATTTCAATTATTTCACTTGCTGCAGGAGTAGATAAGGATCATCAATCATTGATATGTTTAATTTTAGTTTTAAAATTCTTAATGTTTTTTAGAGTATTTGAACCTTTTGGATTATATTTTACAATCATTATAGATGTCGCAAAAAAAATTTCTTATTTCTTATTTATTTTATTTATTGTAATTATTGGTTTTGCCCTTTCCTTTTATATTCTCTTAAAACCAGAACTTGCATATTCATTAGATAATTATACAAATAATACGGATCAAAATAATCCTTGGAATATTGCACCTTCTTATAATCAAATATTTGAAGATGGATCAATTAGTTCAGATCCAACTTACATTCAAAAACCTGATGAAAATACAAATATGTTTACTACTTTTGGAACTGCAGTTCTTGCAATATTTTTAACTTTATCAGGTATAACATAATTATATAACGATAAAGTATTGTAAATCTATATTTCTAATTTTATCTTTATTATTATTATAGGTGATTTAAGCGTTCTAGGAAATTGGGAATATAAGAAGAATCCATTTTTTGTTATATTGTTGACATTTTTATTTTTCATTGTCGTATTATTTCTTTTGAATTTACTTATCGGGTTGCTTTCTAATGCAATTGATGAAGATAATAATAGAATTGCATACTTGTTACATAAAGCAGAGGTCTTTGTTTAGATTTATATTTCATTATTAAACTATTTTAAAATACTGACAAATATTTAAATAGATTTTAAAAAACATTGAATTGTATTATCTAACACCAAATCAAAGACGAAATAAAACTTGGTTTCCCGATGTAATGTAAGTAAATTCTCAAATCTATTGTCATTTATTTATTTCAAAGTTTTTAAATTAATATTATTTATCTTACTAGTTATTATTATGCTGATGTTGATGAAACACGAAGAAAGGTCAAAGATTTAATCAAAAAGGGTGAATGGAACCCTGACGTATTCCCAGAAATGAAGAAAAACTTATTAAAAAAACTAAATATAAATTATGTTTAAATTTAGTTATTGCAAAAAAAAATATTTTTTTATATTATATAGCTTACAGACATACATATATATACATTTTATATTTGATGACGCATTAAACGATGTGTTAATTAATTTTATTTCTAATAAAATCTTGTATTGTTAATATTAGTAATCCCGATTGTATTGTCATTTGTGCAAATCTGAGATTTAGGAGATCTAAATAGGCCAAATTGACCACTGGCCAAAACGACCTCGTCAACTTGTCCTTTCAAATTTAATGTATAAAAAGGCGGGGTTCTTGCTTTGGTTTAAAGAGACAGTTTACTTTCAATGAAAATTTTAATAACATAAATTTGATATTTTTTAATAGTTGTAGATTGACATTTAATAAAATTAACTCCGAAGAGTACAGAGCGCAGACGTTGAGGCAGTACTGATTTATTAATTTTTATCAAAAATTGATTTATATTCGTTTATAAATATAAACTCTAAAGAACTGAAAGCAACAATTGCAAAAAATGATCATATCAATATTTTTCGCACAATTTTTCATAATTTGGTATTACAGATCATAATTTATTTAATTGAATTGTCTGTGCAATTGAATAAATTTCATCAATGAAATCAAATATTTAATGTTCGATAGGTTGTTATAATCTTTATTACCGATATATGCTTACTCATTTTTATTAAATCTAATAATTTTTTTTTTTGAAAACGTTTCTTTTTTAACATTTATTCATGCGGTGGGTGCAGAACTATCCGATAAAAAAATAGTCATATCTTCATATAACTCTTTCTCTAATAATTCGGATATGCAACCCATTTTTATTAATTGAATTTGAATTTCAAAAAGAAGAATATAAGCGATATAAGCATTGATTTCTTTGAACAGACGATGAAGGCTTTCCAGTAGGGTTCGGATCAAAAGTCGGAAAATCGCCAAAGTCGAAAGTCGATTGTATATGGGCAACAAGCCAAATGACAAAATCTTGAAGCTTTAAATAATGACGAAGTCGAAACAATGGTAAAAATTAGAAATTTTGTATGAAAAACTTGATGAAGGATTCATTTTGTGTATCGAATCCTTAAGTGAGCAAAGTTAATTTTAAAAAAAATATAAACATGTCGTGACAGCTCACAACTTGTGAAACATAACCATTTTGATTAATTTGTTTTTAACATCTTTAGCTTTTATTTTCTAATAAATAAAGATTATATTACAAATTTTGCTTAACTATTTTTTTTTTTAAAAGTTTATAACTGTTCTATACTTAAAAAATAATATCGATTTTGCCGATTTTTTTCAAAAATCGATTCGACTTTTGATTTTGGTTTTTGAAATGATTCCAATCCCTACTTCCAAGAACGTTTTTTGACTTATTAATTAAATAAGAATATAATCTAACATTCTCAGTAACGTTTGATATATATTTAATTTTTTTTTTTTTTGTAGTTCTACTTAAGGTATAGATATATTAAGTATAAATTACTCTTAAATCTCAATAATGTGATTCCATAAATAGGACAATAAAAATAAAATAAAATAAGTGACAAATAAAGATTCTTTATATAATTTCCATCACTAGTTTACAAAAAAACCATTATTTATTTAATCATTTTTTAATAATAATAATTAATGGATAAATTAGCGTCATTTCATTTTTGGACGATTATTCAACTTTATTATGATATTGTTACATTAATAATATACAAAAAGAAATTAAATTAAGCAATGCAGAATATTCAAGATGGCTGGTCTTTTTATCTTATTGGCATTATTAGTACTTGTAATTATTTTTAAATAATTGAAATTAATTGCACACGTAATATTCAGCGAGAACCGTGAAGCAGGAATGAACGTACTTGGAAGACTTTAATTATTGATTTCGATTTTGAGTTACAATATTACGCATTTCAATAAATTAATATTAACTATTAAAGTGCAAATTTTAAAATGAATCATACTAATAATAATAGTGAAACACTTTGAAAGAGTCGAAGAGAATAACAAACAACATGAGACTTGTCTTGCATTTGATCAAAAATGCAAACAAAATCAGCGAGCAACTGAAACAGAAGAAATTGCTTTACTTAGTTTCGCTCTTGGTTAACGATAGGATTTGAACATTTTGTTTTAAGATAGTTCTTTTCTCTTTGGGCCAATTACAGAACGCTGGCAGAGGCAGTAATTATGCATTTATTTGTATACTTTTATCATTTATAATAAAACTATTTCCTTTATTTTATTTAATAAAAACTTTATTATTTTAATCGCTAAAATCGATCTACATGCTATTTTCGTTACATTATTATTGCCTATAATAGACCATAAAACTATCTCTAAATTACCTTTCTTACACAAATAGGAGGTAACAATATCATTAGATTTGTGATGATTGTTTTATTATTGAGAATTCAATCATTTATGAAATTGTATACGAGGAAGAGGAACGAAATGATGATGAAAATGAAATGTTTTTGGATACATTTCTTTATTTCATAATATTTTTTTCTTCAGGTGTTATATAATCACTTAAAATTAATGTCCACAAAAAAGTAAGTTTCATTTCCTTTTCCCAAATTTTCAATACTTTTTGCCATGGAATATTACAAAAAAGGAATTAATCATTTTAAATATTTAATATGCCTTAAACTCTAATGTAAAATTTAAGTATAAAGTATTTTATAACGTGTAAATTTTTATTTCTAAAATAATTTTTATATATACAAAAAAAAAATAAAAACCATCATAAGTTAATTATTTCTCATCAAACCCCATAGGTCCATTTCGATAATACATATTTAAAAAAGTTCAACTTAATTATGTAGATCTTAAATTTAGTTTAAAATGCGTCATTTTTTTAGAGTATTTATTGTATATGTATTACTTGATAGAGAATTTTAGTCAATATATATCAATCAAATTAAACCAAAAAATAATTTTTGAATTTAACCATAATTTCAACAAAAAAAAAAATTTCGTCAACAATATAATTATTATCACAGATTCAAAGATGGTAAACGATCTTAAGGCAAGCTTAATTTGATGGTTTGAAATTGTTATCTATGATCAATTATAATCAAACTTTACAACACGATAAAAAAATTAACTTCAAATTTAATTCAATTGAAAAATTAATTGTAATAAAAATTTTTTTATTAGTGATATTAATTAAATAAAATAAATGATGCAGGCTTTTTTTTTCCAATTCATAACATTTTGCCCAGCATATTATAAATCTCATCGTATAGTTATTTGATAGTAAATTAAACATAAATGAGAATTATGCAATATTAAGTCCATTTAGTTGTACTGAAAGTTGAGAACATTATCTTAAGAGACTAAATATAAAAAAAGAATTATTGTTATTTTTTTTTTTTTTTTGCAAAGATTTATAATCATTTTTAAAGTCTACAAGGTTTAACATTATTTAATTCAAAGACTTTTATAATATAAATTATCAATTTGAGTTTTGTAATTTATTTATAATAGAAAGTTCATTTATTTTGAAAACCAAATAAGATATAGACAATGCAATTAAAAATCCAAAACTATATGAACTAACATTACAACAAAATAAGAATATAATACATTTGAAATCTTTGCAATAAAAAGGGCGGAAATCTTCTGGAAAAAAATTATATTATGAAAAAACGTTTCTTGGTCTTTATCTCAAAGCACGCCATAATAATACTTATGTAATTTGTTCTCCTTTTAAATATTAAGTGCAATAGCTGCAATCTCGTAAATATAATATTAAATTGATCAAGATCTAGTTTATCTTTATGAATACTATCTGATGGTAAAGACATCTCATATTTTCTCACTAAATAGAGAAAATAAAAAAAATTAATATATATTTGATAAAAAATAAAGATTTTATAGATAACTTACATAAAGTACACAACATCACTCTTTTTTCAATAAGTATTACAGTGTTCCTAAACATCTATTTAATAATAATAACAATAAATTAGTTATACAACCCAAACAAAATCAAAAAAAAAGTCTTTGACTTACTTCTTGAACCACCATCAAAAGGTAGCCAAGTATGTTGATCGCATTTTTCATCATGTTCATTCTCAAATCTCAAATCTTTCATGAATAAATTCTTCAGAATTTATCCAATATTTTGGTGAATGATGAATTCCATAAATATTTACTATAATAGGTGTTTTGGCAAAAATGTATGATTTCAAAAATTAATAATCTCTGAATTTTCTCTTTATGGTAATTGATGAACCTTTAATTAAAAAAAATTAATATTATTTAATATAAAATAAATTTAGAAAAGTTACAAAAATTTGAAAGCTTAAAAAATGCATACCGGAGAATACAATCTTAAGTTTTCGTGTAAATCTATATTCAGATATTTTAATTCTCTTTGTTGTTCGGTTGTCGTGATTAAATTATCTCTAAGTACACGTAATAATTTCTCATGAACTTTGCTTTGAATATTCTTATTAAATAAAGGTAAATCCAAATTAATAACAAAAAAAAAAATATTTGAAGACAATATTTTTAATACCTTGTGGGTTGCTAAGAAATATAATACGATTGTCAAAGCAGTTGCAGCTAATTTAATTATCTCAGAAATGAAGGTTTAATTTTAAATAATTATTTAATAATTATAAATTATTAAAAAGTTCTCTTACTAGTCTTATGTCCAGCTAACATAAATATTGCAAGATTATGCTATAAATTCAAAAAAATCATAATTAAATAAATTTTAAAATAATTTAGCTTTGAGAAAGGTTTATAATAAATTATGATACTCATTCGCATTTCTTCATCTGACATGGGATATTTTGGATTGTTAGAAAAGTTCTAATAAATCAGCTGAATTATTGTCTATTTTTTTACTCAATTCATCTGTTTTCATTGATTTACGTTTCTTTTCAATAAGACTGTTAAATAAATTATTCATCTTTGTAGCTTTTTTACGTGTTTCAGTACGATTAAACTATGGATGTATTCAATGAATGGGATAATAAAATATATTGGTTTATTACATTCCTCCGTTATTTCATGATGTGGGATTTTCAAGATTCTATTAATATAAATTATTTAATCATTTTTTTATTTTTTTTTTTTAAAAAAAAGTATCTTACATTAAAATCAAATCTGAAAGCAATTTTATAAGTACGTCTAAATCAGTCTATAATAAATAGTTCAAATAGTTCATAAATTAAAAACTTTCATCCTAATTACAGAAAAAAAATATGAGATTATTTATTTGTCCATAAATCCTTTTACCTCTATAAGTGGATTTATTATCAACTTTTTTGACGAATTTTATCAAATAATTGCATAGGCATACTTTTAAACGCATGATTTGTAATAAACTTAGAATATAAAGAAAAATTAATTCTATAATCTATTTATGATAAATAAAATTGACGATACTTACTGATAACGCTTTCAAACCTACATATCAATAAGGCATTCAAATGTCAGTCAAAGAATATGTTATATTAAAGATATTTCAAATATACTTACATCTCCGTTAGAAAATACTACGTTTGTTCCGTAGTAACTAGCCACTAAAGATCCGAAAAACACTTCTTCGAGTGATGCTTTAGGATACAAATCTAAATCAAATTATAATGTTTAAACAAAATAAGGAATCAACAAAAAAAACCTAACCTGTTTTCGCAAATACATCTTTTATAAGTTCTGAATCGGTATTAACAACATACCATTCTCCAATGAACTAAAACTATAATTAGTCTAGAGCAAAGCGAAGGACTATATATGGTCTAGACTATATAACACAGAAATGTCCTGATGTCTACCCGCTCAAAATATGAGTCAATTCTGATTGGTTTGTGTAATAAGAATTAAGCATTTAGTATTATTCTTTAGTTTGTTCGCATTTAGAATTACTACACTATTTGTGTGTATGCATTTATATTACTTGATGTATACAAAAAAAATTAAAAATAAAAATAAAAAAAATAAATTTATTGTTTTTGTTATTATTTACATAATGTACTCATCTGTGTGAGATATCATTCTAAGCAGACGCGCTTCTTCTACCTTACATTTTTGTAATCTTTTACTTTGCTTGATACGTTAAAGCCTATCAAAAGAGAACTGCTTAAAGATTATATCACTGAATGAACGAACTTGGGACATCATGACAAACAAAAGTCTAGCCGTGAATTCTTTTTTTCTGATATTGATTCTAACCTTTGGTATCATGAGCCCCTGACTCTTGTGAACTGTGATAGCCTACGTGAGACATATAGGAATTTGCAACTTAGAATATGGTATCCCGCTCTTATTTTCCCAGTTTCTTTTTATTGCCACAATAGGAATTACTTTGTCTCCTTTGACATCGTAATAGTACTTTTTCGTATGTGTCAAATTTTATGAAAATAGCTGATAAAAGCGAAGGTGATCCCTGTTCCTCATACATAATATCTTTTATTTTCCCATTGCTCTATTTACTAATCCAGCTTCAGTCCATAAATTTGCTATTAGCATTATACGTGCTTCTTATGCCAGTAGCAATTCAGCTTCTAGTCCCTTCGCCACTTCTGAATTGGCTCTTTTGGCTTCTTTTCTGCCTGTATATAACACATTAATTTTGGCTACTAGCTGGTCCAAGGATCGAAGCATATCTATATTTACTCTATCTACTTCATTTCACGTAGTTTATATTGAAACAGCGTCTGAAAATCTGTCCTGTTCTGTTTGCTTCAACTTTTCTTCAAATCTGCTGCTATGTTTCTGCCAATCGTTTAAGTCACTCTCTCCTTTATGCAACCTTAGAAGTATATCTCAAAAGACCTTTTGCTCTTCACTATCTCTCAATTGTCTTTGTATGATATCAAGCTTATATACTTTCCTAAATTATTTATATGTTGATATACCATCATTTGATTTTATATAATGCGATATATTATTAGCGTACATAGGTAAGTCGAAGACTGGTAGGAGTTGACCAAAATTGCCAAATAGTATAATGGATCGTCTTCCAAATGCTTTGTTCTTATTTTCAGGAAATACTTTTTTAACCTCATGTCAATTAAGACTAGCATTTGACATCCTACCATGCTTTTCTCATCGATAATAAGGTAAATTACATCTTTTAATTTTCTTGTAGTTCCTTAATTCAATTGCCATCTAATTCAAAGTTTTTATTATTGAGTATTGGTACAGATAACTTTAAGTAAATTGTCGTTCCGTTTATGTTAAATGCTGCAACCCCCGTTAGCACAACTATTTGTACAGGCGGTTCTGATTGTCCTGCCATTATATTTAGTCTCGTTCATATTACCCTAATGAGATAAGATTTACCTGTCTCTGTGATACCCATTATTATTATTCTTAATGGTTCTACTGGATTTCCCGTGATTATGTTGGTATAGTGCATTTCTATTCATTTGTATATTATTCTTTGCTTTTTGTTTAGTTTATGGTAGTTGACTAACTTAGTATCGATGGCTCTGATTTTCCTATTTTTTTGCATTTTGTTGCACGAAATCACTTACATTTGCAATATCATCATTGGAATAATTTTGCTAGGCATCCGTTGTCTAGTTGTGATTACAATCCATATCACGAGAACCTAAGTCAGAACTACTGCTTATTCTTGACTTAGGGCTCATTTCCGCCAGGTACATCCAATCATACTGAAACTCCTCGTTATCTTCTTCTTCTTTCATCTCACCTTGACTGTCATCATCATCACTAATCTTCTCTTCTTGATCTATGGGATTTCCAAGTACGTCACTTGGATCACGATTTCTTGTGTCAATGTGTTGACCAAAAACTACACTTCACAGTATATTTTTGTTGCCATTCAATTGTTTTATATTTCGATGCAAAACATGAAGTAACACTTTTATTTGACAGAAATATTCTCATTGATCTCCATTACGAATTGGTAATGAACATGGCTATATCCATACGATGTTTTCTTTTTGTTTTTTTCCATTGTTTTTGAATGTTTTTATGTGTTAAAAATAACCTAAATAACAAATATTCTTTGAATTTATTAGGGCGATTCCAGTATCTTTTGAGAGGTGATTGTGATGTACATCCTGCTTCATTGATTGAACCAAACTCATTGCTGTTTTCATTACTACCTATTCTACGAATCCATCTGAATGCATTATCATTGAGATTTAATGAAAGGCTAAAATGATATAGTGGGATATTGAGCATAAGATAACAAATTTCTTGGCTGATATATCTCTTTCCGTAACACTATTGAGCAGTAGCTTTTGTATTAATGTGATTGAAGGATCGTTACCATTGCTGTTGTTAAGGATCTGATTGAATATCTCTGAGAATGCAAGTGATCTAGACTCAACTTTGCTCACGTATTTTTAAATATACTGTAATACCGCATGGATACTTAATATCAGTTTTAAATCAACATTTGCTCGAGTCACCGGGGTTCTTTGATATAATTATATCAAAGAACCCCCGGCGACTTGAGTTAGGTTATGACGGTGATGACATAATCTAAT